CTGACGAGCTTGTGTGAATGGATGATGGAATGGGGGAGGCCTTAGCCTTAACGAAGGGAGAAAAACTGCTAAGTGCAACGAGTGATAGGAAGTTGTGTTGAAGTATGACCGACTATGTCCTGAAGCGACGTGACGCATACAAATCTTACTTATAGCAATCTTAAGTTTTCTTAAATGAAACACTGTCATTCTTAACATTTTTTTTTTATTTTCTTACGTTTAGATTAACAAAATGGTTTACATTTTAAAAGATTTTTTAAATAAATTTGAAAACGCTTTGAGAGTTGCAATAATAATGAGAAATCGGATGAAATGCTCGGTTCAATATACCGAGATAATTATCGAATATAAAAGACACCGGAAGAAAGCTTAAAGGATGTAATTGCGGAATTGTATAACCAATATGATAATTATAATGGTTCGAATGTAAAGGCATATAATGTTAATAAATTAGTAATACTTTGTGATGTCAATGAATACTCGTTGTCACTTTCGTAATGCTCGTTGTAGTGGAGACTTTTTAATTGCAGATACAAATTATAACACGCTGTCGAACAATACTAGTGTCAAACGCTAATAGTACTTGCTCGATAATACTCGCTCAAACACTAATCCGTATAGTGATCCGAATAGAGAAATAGTATAGTGAATAGAGTAGAGAATATCGGCCCATATATTAATAGAGGATAGAGTAGAAATGACGATCAGTATAGTATAAAGGATAGACTAGGAATAGCGATCCGTATAATATAGAGAATAGACTAGAAATAGCGATCAATTGGACGTCACGCGACTTCATACTTATACGTTTCTCTCACGGTCACGTAATTCACTTAATTCAGTAATGGGATCGCCTGTGTTTGCTCACTGGCGATATATGTTCAAACTCAAGTGTCGGCAGCGACACTTTATTTTTATATAACATAATATGTAGAAGTTTGTGTAATCTTCAATAAAATGTATTCCTCCCGTTCTCAAGAAGTAATAATCAAAACAATTTATAATTAAAACAACGTAGGATGAAAAATGAAGTGAAGAAAAAAAAAATGTTATTACATTATTCAAGCAAAAAGACCAAATCTAACATAAGTGATAAGCAAAAGAACATCTGATAAAGATTGTGGGCATGGTTGTACCAGCGTACTGTACAGTGAAGCGAAGAATGCAGAGAAAGAAAGGAAATATACCAGGACCTCAGCCGTAAGTAGAATATTTAGATGGTGACGTACATACCGAAAACACTGAAGGCAAGATTAGATGAATTAAAGATTTGTAACTCTCCAAACACTGGCAATGCTGGTACTTGCGATGTTACTGAAAAATGTCCTTGGGATTTGAGTAAACATGTCGTCATTCAATCTCCTGTAGCATAAACTCAGCAGACTATTGCGTGAACATGTAAATGCAGGAATCAAACGATATAATAATTATCAATGTGGATGTATTTATATATTTCCTATGTATTTCTTTTTATATTTCCTGTTCCATCTGTTATGAGAAGGTAGATAAATCAACTTTATTTAGTAAATGTATTAGTTTCCTTAGTTGTTTTAATAATCTACATAAATAAAATATTTATCTGCATTCTGATAAATTTATTTCCCAAGCAAAATGAACCGTTGAATTAATCAGCTACTCTGCTCTTACGTTTCTTAGATTGCAGTTGTATTTGTTCAAGCTATTCACGTGAGACACTCAGATAACTTTGCTTACTAAGATGACGATCAGTATAGTATAAAGGATAGACTAGGAATAGCGATCCGTATAATATAGAGAATAGACTAGAAATAGCGATCAATTGGTTCAATTTTTGGTTTTTAATCAGTTCACCCTAGCAAGGCGATAATGCCACTAATATGCAAGAGGCTGTTGTGGGTGAAAAAGAATGAAAATAATTTATAAGAAACCAGAAACACAATCCTAAACAGGGAACTAGAAACACAGTCTTAAACCAAAAACAAGGGATAAACCTCTGTTCCTATTCAAAAGACTATGGTCTTGAAGTAGAATTTGCCGTTGCCTTTCTTGTCGTTATTTTGCTAATCTTTTTTTCTTCTTAGAGATATTTCGTTTTCACTGTTATATTAAATACAAATGCTTTAACATGGAAATATATTGCGAAGAAGCCATTTGTATATTACCAGGAGCAATCAATGAATCGTAGATACCACTGAACGTCTAAAAATATAAAAGGAACGGATTAATTAAACGTTTCATTGGCCTCTATTCTACTTGTGGATTCTTTACTGCTGCTTTATTGAACATCAATACATTATGTCAAAACTTGTGTTTCATTGTATCTCACTATTAAAACTTTCTAACAATTGCTGTCATCTTTGAGAGCACGGGCAAACTACTACTACTACTAAACTATAACTACTACAGCAAACATGATTTTCAGGTTTTCTGATTACTAGTCTTTATATGTACATATTTTGTCTCAGTGAACTAAGGTGGACTGAAGCAACATCTTGTTTAGTATCATAGATTTGCTTGATCATAACCAATTGGACATTTCCGCTAGGAGCTGACGTATTGTGCATGTCTATTCATCAGGATGAGGAATAGAAGCACATCATAGAGGAACAGGTCAGCCAGTACGACTTGGGAGTGGCATCTAGATACACGGGAACGTTGTCAATTGGAAACCGTCCGAGCGGACTGGTTTACTCGACAAGGAACACAGTTTTTATCTGGGCCCCATCTGCAGTTATGTTTTTTTTAGTAAAATCTTGTCAACATATCGAGAATATTTGACTGTGATGCATGTACGTGGTATACATTTATCAGACTTGAGATTCACATATTTCTACTCCAGTGTCTCTTTTTGGACGTGATAATCTTTCACTTAATAATAATAATAATAATAATAATAATAATAATAATAATAATAATAATAAAGCGACTTTATTCAAGTTCAAAATGGAGTTTTGGTCGAAGAAATACTAACAAAGTGCAATACACCGACTGAAGCTGCAAAATACTTAAAAAAGAAAGCAAAGGCAAATGCAATCGACCAGATACAGAAACGATGGCAAGATAAACTGCTTCACGGTCAATACTCTGTCCGTATCAAACAAGCTGATGTAGATAAAACCCCTACCCATCACTGGGTACGTAGATTTTATTCTTCCTCTACAGGATCAATGATTGCTAACTAGAAATTGCAAAGCACACACTGAAAAATTGTGTTAGTCCAAAATGCAGATTCTGTGATAAAAATCCAGAAACAATTGACCATATTATATCAGGTTGCGCGGTATCGGCGCCCACTGAATATAAAACACGGCACGACAGGTTGGGCCAATATTTGAACTGGAAAATCTCCAACACTTACAGAAAGGAAACTGCAAGAAATTGGTATGAACACCACCCAGACCCGGTTACGGAGGTAGGACCTGTAACATTTTTTATGGGACTTTAAAATAGACACAGATAGAACGATCAAAGCTAATCGCCCTGACATTGTGATTAGAGACTGCAAAGACAAAATGTGCCACCTTGTTGACATGGCAATCTCTGCAGACTGCAACGTATATTTGAAGATCTTCAAAAAGCTATCAAAATACAAGGACTTTGAAATCTGAATCTCAAAAATGCGACACATGAGGACATTAACAATTCCACTTGTAGTTGGAACACTCGGATTGATTGGAAAAAATTCCAGTAGACTCATTGAAGGAATCACTAGTAGCCCATGCCTTAAAGAAATACAAAAATTGTTCTCAAAAGTACAGGCCACATCTTAAGAAGGGATTTATCTATGTAAAATATGTGTGATTTTTGTTTGCAAAACTCCTGAATGGAAAATGTCATGATGCAATTTCTGACCTTAGGCCTCTGGAAAGAAATGAGTATACACAAGAAATTAAAGGAAATGAAGCAATAATAATAATACTACTAATAATAGTAATAATCATTTTCTCCGTAGTTCTTCAACTGTTACTCTTACTGAAACAACAAAGTCTAATATATATATATATTTTTTGTCAGTGGAAAGTGTCATGATGCCATTTCTAACCTTAGGTCCCTGTGCGGGACCCGGAAAGAAATGTGTAAACACCAGAAATCAAAGATAATAATAATAATAATAATAATAATAATAATAATAATAATAATAAGTGCCTTCTTATTGATATGGCAGTCCCTGCTGACTGCAATGTATCTTTGAAGATATTCAAAAAGTTGTCAAAATACAAAATACAATAGAAATGTCGAAAATGTGGCCTATGGGAACACCAACAATCCCTGTTGTAGTTGGAGCCCTAGGACTGGTTGAAAAAGATTGCAGTAGACTAATTGAAGGGATTCCTGGAAGTCCATGCCTCAAGGAGATACAAAAAATTGTTCTGACAAGTACAGCCCACACTTTACGAAGGGCTTTATCTATGTAATTTTTTTTTTTTTTTGTCAGTGGAAAGTGTCATGATCTCTAACCTTAGGTCCCTAGGCGGGACCCGGAAAGAAATGTGTAAACGCCATAAATCAAAGAAAATAATAATAATAATAATAATAATAATAATAATGATAAATTGTTTTAATTTAGGCAAATCCCCTAGTTGGAGAAAGAATGCCTAACTTATTTGTAGTGAATAAATAAAAATAAATTATACTTGGTATTGGAGTTGGCTTTTCCGGAAGGCGACAGGGAAAATTTAAGAGAAGACGAGAAACAGCAAAAAGTTTAGGACCTAGCTCGTTAATTCAAAAGAGTTGAGTGAAGCAGCCATAAGTAAATACCATTTAAAGTGTGATTGGAGAGGCTGGAGATTCAAGAAGAACTGTAATCATCAAGAAGGTTTAATTAGTGAAATCGTCAAGAATATTGAGAAATTATTGGCGTATTGAGAAGGCGGATGTGACTTGATATACAATGAAATCTGCAAGACGTTATTGACGCGAAAAGTCAACGAACTTGAAATAATATTATAAAATGAATATTATTACTATTATATTATTTTTATTTGCTTGTTCGTAATCGCGAAATTTAACTGGGATTATCAAATGAATGTAGAAAAGGGAAAAATGAAGAAGTACAAATAAAGAGAAAGAAAAATGAAGACTATAGAGAAAACGGAACGGAACATAAAAAGCAGAAAAGAAAGAATAAAAGAAAGAATACTTTGAAAGAGAAGTAAAAAGTAAAGGAACTAAAAAGAAATGAAAGAAAATAAAAACTAAGAAAAAAAGAAAACGGACAAATATCGAACATTGGAGAAAAAGGAAAACAACCCTTTCCTTGCAATTTCACTAGGAATGATAAGAGAACACTTGAAGTGGTTCGAAAAGAGAATGAAATTCTGAACTATTAAGTCCGTTAATAAATACCCACTAACCCTCAAGGGTAAGGGTAGTCATAAAGGGAATATCTACATACAAAGTGTGCAGGATGCGGGCAGGTAGCGACTAAAAGGAAGAAAATGAAGGATGGTCACTTAGCCAATGTCTTTCGCTTTCTCGAGCTTCGTTTTGAGATCCACGTCTTGATTTGATTTGCTATGTTACAAACACAAACTTCCCCTTGAGGTGCCTGCACCAGACGCGATGCAGTCCGTTTTTCGTCTGTAATAAGGTTAACTTAATGTTCCTAACACAAATAAAACGAAAGCCAACATGGAGCTTTCCTGACTCAACCAGTCTCGCCATTAACTTTCTTGTAATGTATACCTGTGAGAGATATCTTGATGAATATATTATTTGGATATTCTGAAGAGGCTCAAAGGCTGAACTTGATATTTGGTTAAACATAGCCTAGTTTAGTTTAGCATAGTGTAAGTACAAAAGGAAAGGTTAGAAGATTGTTCAGCGTCAGATTTTTTTAAGTTTGGGAAAGGCTTGTGTATAATTTGAAAAAAGAATCATTATCATTCCAAGAGTTGTTTGAGCCGTGTTCATTCAGGACGTGGGTGATCATGGCTCTCCACAACTTTCTATACCTTGTAACTCATAACAATTTTTGTCTTTTTACTGTCCTTTTTACTCCCTGTTCTGACAGCTTTTTACATAAGCTCGTTAGATAAGTTATTCATAGTTTCCATCTACCCCTGTTGCTTTCAGTATGTTTGTGAGTGCCAATTTTCCAAACCTTTTTTCTCGTGATATATACTCAAAATTTCAAATGTCTCTTTCTGATTTTATATGTCCTTTTGTGTTTCGATTTTTCTTAAAAACTTACTTGCATCCACTGCCCATTCTCAGCATCCTTCTGTAGAACCACATTTTTTGCCTCAAGTTACTCTTCATCTATGAGGAGATTATCCAACATTCACAGTCAGATTGAGATTAAATAGCAGTTCCGCATATAAAGCAGTTATATTTTAAAATAGCCGACATATATCTATTTTCTGATTCTGGGTACAAATTTGATTTTGTTTCCTTTTTTTTCTTCTTTTTTTTGTGCTTAAATGTTCCGTTCATAGAATTCTCAGGAAGATAGTTCAAGTTTTCTCTTCATTTTGGGGGGAATGATTCCGCATTCTCTGCGATATGAAAGGACTATTTTAATCGAGATTTTTAACACTATGTTTCTTTCAATTTCGCAAACCAATCGATGAAACATAAAAACTTAGAGAGAAGATATGCAAAAACAATATTGCATTTTTATTAAATAAGTATTTGTTATTTTAATCATTAATTTTTTTTTAAATAGTGGGAGTATTTTGTATGTTAAATAATAAAACTTTTAAATTTTCCAAACCATAATGAAAATTTATTGTACTAAGCTATGCACACGAGTAAAACAAATTGTACTTTGCACCCGCTTACCTATTTGCACTTCTCCCAAAAATTTGGTTTCTGTCGATCAATGTAGCGATTTTCCAAGCGTAGCTTAGATGTGGCACAAGGCCGAAAATATGGGGCACCCAGTGAGGATCCAACTCACTACTCATTCGTAATTGTGCTAGCGAGACAAGATTGCTAACCAATACACCGCATCGGAGTGCCCCTGTCGGTCAATGTATGGATATTTTAGATGTGACAGATGGACGGACTAACGGAAGTCACAGAATTTTATATATAGATTGATATTACTAGAATAGCATTCTTTTATCTGTTTCTAACGAAATTTTCCTGTTTCTTAATATTATGTTTAGTCTATGGAAGGCATCTTTCGCTATACCAATACATCTTCAGATTTCTGAGCTACGTTTTCCGTTGTTTACTAAAATACTTACCAGCTGAGATAGTTAAATTTTATATGCGTACGGTATGTTCCTAGTATCTATTCGCAATTATTCTAATTTATTTCCTAAATAAAACAAGATTTCCTAGCTGTTCAAATAGATCTTTGTGTCGTACCATTTCAAATACTTTTGCACAGATTATGAAGCATTCTTCTACATTTGTATTGCACTTTATGACATCACGCTGATAATAAATATTTGCATTTCTTGTTTCGCTGTACTTAATGAAGCCACACTGTTCTTGTACTTCCGGTCTAATTCTCATACGTACTCTATTCATCAGAATTCGGATGATAAGCTTGATTGATTGGTTGGTTGACTTTGTTTAACGGAATTTCAACACCTTTTGGGTTGCTTAATGCCGAAATCTAAATATTTTGAGAACAGTTTTATGGCTTCAACTACATATAAAATGTATTGTTAGTCATTTTGCTATAAAATGTATTGTTGGTATTTCTACTTTGAAAATGCATTGTTAGTAATTTTGCTATAAATATGTATAGTTGGTAATATTTTATATCAAAATGTATTTCTGGTATTTTTACTATAAAATGTATTGTTGGTAATTTTCATATAAATATGTATCGTTAATAATTTTAATGTATCGTTGGTAATTCTTTTTTATATAAATAAGTATTGCTGGTATTTTTACAATAAAAAATGTATTTTTATATTTTAATAGAGTATTGTCTTTGTTTTAGGATTCGCTATTTGCCCATAACTGGATCGCTAACAGATACGTGGGAACAACAGCATTTAAGTGCTTATCCCACGTGCCACGAAACTTCCAATCACCCGATCAGAAGCCTTGATGCCGGATGTAGTTTATCCTCTATGACTTAGTTATGTGGCTTATTTAGCTGATTGTCTGACGGAGGTAACATTCATTTGTAACTGTTTTGTACAGCTCTACGAAAATTAACCTACTGCAGTTTTCCAATATGTCGCCAATGTTCTACATTTAATTTATTAATTTCGAAATTTGATCAGTTTTGAAAATGTCTAAGGGTGATTGCATCTCCATTGCATTCACCTCTGGTTCAGCTGCTTCGTTTCTATTCATCTTGTCCATGGCGATTTTACTTCAGTCTTTAATATTGCACGTCGTTCCATATTTACCTCTTTCGCCGTGAAAGAGTTCTCCAATATACTCGTTCCATCTTTGGTGTAGTTTTCTTTATCTGTTATGTGTGTTCTCCCTTTTGATTTTATACATCTTGTCTATGAGCAGGTCTTTTATCCTCTTGTTCCATTTATTCGTTTATGCCATATCTGTGGTCCAAATTTTTTTTTAGCGGCACACGTTGAGCCATTCTTCTTTTGCTTTTGTAAAAATCATTTCGCATCAAACAAGGCAATAAAGTCACTAAGACATGTAGTTACTGAGTGTGAACGAATAAAAAAAAGAAAACATTATTAAGGAGTGAGAACAATAAACAAAGAGGAATAATTAACATTGTATTTAAATTTTTGAAGATCAAAATTGGCTGGAAAGTAAGAAGCCGGAATGGTGTTCTATAGTTCAAATGTTTCTTGTTCTATCCCATTCCTTGGCATCGCTTGCTCTCTATTTTTCATCATATCGAGAATTTAATCTTTCATATCTATTTCTACATATTTTTCTTTTCTGGGGAAGATTACGTTTGTCGATGTCATTAGAATTTCTCTTAATGTATCCCATTTTGAAAACCCAGTTTCATCAAAGTTATTATATTTGCATTTAACAGGTTAAGTCATTCGGGAAGGCACTGATTTAGTTTTATTAATTTCCGTATTTTGTATTCTTAGTTTACATATGACTTGATTGTAGTCGTGCCCACATCCAACAAAACATGGGTAGGTTTTACTGTACATGGTGTTCCGAAAGCCTTGACACGCCTACATAATATAATTTTCTATTTCACGAAAATGATGGTGTTCTTCTCGATGTGTGACAGCGTCAATGAAAGTGAATATACTGAATCCAGTACATGAGCTTTGTATTACTGTTCTCATTAGTTTTTGGTAGGGGTTGACAAGACTTACGCGCCATCCTGTACATTGCTTAATCTTTTATTGATTGTTACATAGAAAATAGGATTCTTCGTGTCTCCCGTCTTGTCCGTGTCCACGAGTGTTTTGGGGAGGGCTCTTGAAACTAGATGTTGACTATTATTATTATTATTATTATTATTATTATTTGGTCATTTGCTATTTATTTGATCGTTTGAAACCTATTTTCTCCGTTACAGGATCCTAGTTCGTACTTGTCAACTCCACGTCTTGTTCCTTTCTTACTTCAGTATTTAGGTCTTCCATGAAGCAGTAAAGGAATTCTGCAATTTACATTGACTCTTGGCGCTTTCAGTTTCTTCCTCCATCTTTCGTGCTGTCGGTGAGTATACTACTACATTAAGCGGGAAAGGAAGAGAAGACAGATACTTGATCTTGATTATAAATCCAAAGTTGAGCAGAACCAGACGTACATTCGAATCCTCTAGATAATCACCTCGCCACGGTGGCGGGATGTGAGTGTACGTCGTTTTTATTGGACACTTACATATGGACCAAATGAACCAGTCCCCTCGACCACTGTCACCAATCGTATACACCAACTTGCCACATTGTTCCATCTCTGTGGCGCTGCCACAGAGATGGAACGTTCGAGATCAGGCATTACTAATATAATTACCATTAACTGCTCGAAGACTGAAATGCAGCAGAGAAGTGAAGAACTGATAGTACACTTTGATCTCGGGTAGAGATCTGCAGAACGATACTTTCATTGTAGTCAGATCGCGCCGATACTTTGAACTGATTATGAGGTGGGAATTCCTTCGTAATTTATCAGTCCAGCGATAGTCGTTTATCTCGTATACAGAAAGGTACTTTACCCTTACTGCTTGGGCATTTTCATAGTCTATTCCTTTGTTATGCTAATTAGGCAGCCATTTACATATCACGACATGAACCTAGACAGAAGGACCGACCGTTGGTATTTTGCTAGTAAATGAAAGTCTACAATTTCAACTACACATGAGAATACTTCATTTTTTTTAACACTGTCTTTGATTCTCATAATATCTAGTGGTATAGATAAAACCAAAACGAT